GACCCCCTCCCGGAAGCCAACACCAGATCGCCGGCGGTCCACTAATGGAGATACTGCGGCAAAACGTTCCACCAACCGCCAGCAGCGATTCGATCGGTACCAATGGCCACCGGACATTTCCAGCGATTCAGATTTGATCCCGGCCTCACCTTCGCATCATGCAATGCCAAGCCCTGTTCTCGCATCCGCCGCTCAACCCAGCTCGCCTATACACCGAGCCACACGATCTATTTTGTCTCTGATCGACCCCGTCTCGTGTTCAAACCTCACGTAGAAATCGTCCGAGACGATCAGGCCTTCAAACACAACGAGACTTGATCTTCCTGCAACCATACCGAGTGACCACGACGGAGATCGAGGCCGCAATCCCACGCCGGGCTTCCAGATCATTTACGCACCTAGCGTTCAACAGGACCTCCAACAGCCGGAACCGATTCCGCCTCCAGATTTATCGGCTTCTTTTCCACCTCTGCATCCTTAGCTTCTTCACCACCTCCCCGCGGCTCTGCTGACCGTCTTCACCTCTCCATGCTCCAATCCTGCGTCTCCGCTGCCGACACCCGCCTCGCCCTCGATGCTATCATGGTCTCCGCCAACAGTGGTCGCAGTTCTTGCCCAAGCCTTAGATGCTACAACACTCTCCTGCTCAAACTGGAAAAATTCGGCATGGTTACTGAGATGAAGTCCGTCTATTGCCAAATGCTCCTCGTCGGTATCTTACCCAACCTCTTTACCTACAACACCATGATTAACTCCTCTTGCAAGCTTGGCGACATATCTAATGCGATGATCTACCTTGGTCATCTGGTACGGGCGGGATTTGATCTTGATACCTTCACATTCAACTCATTGATGATGGGCTATTGTAGAAGAAATGATATCGATAGAGATGGAATGGTTTATGAGACAATGTTGCGCAAGTCTTGCAAAAGGGATGTACACTCTTATACTATACTGATTGACGGACTCTTGAAGGCTTTTCTGGTGGAGGAAGCGTTAAAATTGTTGTCAGAAATGGAGTAACGATGGCTGCTCTCCAAATTCTAATACCTATACGGT